ACTGAAACAGAATTAAAACTTTCAACAATTTGTAAACTTTTTCCTAATATTCGCTGTTGACTCAATCGTTTAGCCACTATTACCAATACTAGAATAGAAAAAGCGAACGAACTACAACATATGTTCATTACTCTATGTTACTTACCAAGAGTGATAGCCGATGGTAAACCTACAGGTAAGAAACTAACGATCATTCCGATTGAATTGAGGATATTTCCAGTTAAAGTAATAAAAGTTGGATGAGAATAATTAAGCCATCCTAACCAAGTAATCCAAAGAATAAAAATACTGATGATATCAGCCACAAGAACAAATAAAACAAAACGATTCACTTCACGATGTAGATTAGTAGTTTCATTACTAGAATTATCTTTTGTTGTTGTTGTTCCTGACATTTTACCCAAAATAGTATTGTCACCAGTTGCAATAACTATTGCTTCACCCATGCCTTGTTCAACAAATGAAGAATAAAATCCAATATTAGTTGATTCCATTAAAATTTGACTTGTGCAATGAACTGTGACCGTAATAGGTTTTGTTTCGCCAGTTAATTCTGCTGAATTAACCTAAATTTATGTGCAAAATTACAACAACGGTAAAATAAAGAATGTGAAATTTACTTTAAGTCCTTCACAAGTTAAAAATCGACAATCAGCTGGTAATACATCACCCATTTGTATTAGAATAATATCACCTGGAACAAGTTCATTTGTAGGAATCTGTTGTTCTACACCCTCACGTCGAACAGTAGCAGTTGTTGGTGATAATTTTGAAAATGATGCTATTATTTTAATCGATTTGAGTTTTTGATATATATTGAGAAATGCATTGCAAATAATGACTAGGAAAAGTACAATGCCAAGACCTAAATTTGTAATTGATGGATTCGATCCACCAAGTGGTTGGTAGGCAATAAGAGCAAGAATACCACCAAGCCAAAGAATTGAATTAAAACCCATGAATAATTGTTGAAATAACAACCAAAAATAATTCTGTGACCGAGGTGGTGTAATCTGATTGGTACCATAATGTAGTTGAGCATCATGCACAAAAGCTGTTGATAAACCAAAGCGTTGATTTGAATGAAAACGTCGAAAAACACTTTCCATTGGAATAAAATGAACATCTTGATCAAGTCGAGACATATTAGTATTAACCCAAAGGTCAATATTTGAATGTCTTCGTGTTACCATATTAGTAATACTCTCTTATCGTTAATTTTCAAGTTCGCATTACAATCTAAAATTAGTGAACTAAATCAGAAAGAAGATACATGAATCTTTTCTAGTTATTTTTTCGAGAAATACTCAATATATATAATGTAGTTTCAATTGATGTTCTTTTATCTATATATATCTGACAAATCCGTTCTCGTGCGTCATTCCTGTTCTATCTTACTCATTATATTGAAAATATAATCTCAAAGTGAGCTCGTATACTTTCTATATATATCCATCTGAAGAAATTCTCATATTAAGATTTTATTTTAATAGAAACCTCCAATTAATGATACTCTTTTTCAATAAAAGTCTTTTTAATGTCTGAATCGATTGTTACGTGATTTGTCCACATACCATTTCTGATCTGTTAAAAGAAAGAATTGCAGTTAAAATTGAACATCAAACTTACAGAGTTTAATGTCCCGAGATAATTTTCTTATAAAAAATAAAGAAAAGCTTTTAAACATGAAGTCACGAGTGAGAACAGTTTAATTATATTAATACCATAATAACAAGTTCTTATAAGGATAAAACATGCACGAGTTGAGATATCAGTGAAAGATAATTAAAAATCCAAAATCCTTTAGCCTAAAGGCTATTTACGTCATTCATTATATTCATTACTTGAAGTATTTTTATTTAATAAAAAGAAAAAAAAAGACTTGTATATATTCTTCTCTTGCGATGCGTGCTTTCTTACTCGAATACTAATGTATAAATAGAGCAAAAAGATGTTAAAAATAAAACATAATTTAAATTAAGTGAAGAAAAAACAAAATCAGACGTGCTTATAATACCTTTTCCTTTCGAACAAAAACCAAACGTATTGGTTTAGATGAAAACAAAGAGGATGAAATCATTGTTGTTGTTACGAACAAGTAGCGCTCGTCCGAGGACTCGCTCAGCTCTTTCTCGTAGAAATGGTATTTTACAATTATCAGTAAACTATTTATTTTAAACAATTAGTCATTGATTAAAACTAATTGTAGATTGGAACTCGCCATTCTCGATTACTTTTTTTGTCAAGTTCTACATAATATATCAATAATTTATGATCAGTTAATAATTAATTAAAAATATCCTCAGATTTGAACTCTCCACCCTTGATTACCCTTCGACCAAGTTTTATGCAAAAAATAAATCGCTTTTGTTTGCAACTTCTTTTTGGATCAATTAGTGAAGTGTGGACACACAAGCAAGTAGACTATTTATATTTGCAAAACTGTCGGAGTTGACTTCAAAATTCAATTGCCTTTAAAATTGACAAGTCAGCCAGGAATCAAGATCTTGCAAAGTCAGGCACTTAATCCATCAAATACTACCGAACCATAATAGTAATCCAAACAAATACAAAATACAAATGCTCAGAACCTCAATAACATCAACTCTTCGAAACGTGTCGTATGAACCTTGAAATCATTCTTTAATGAACAAACCTACATTCTTATTAGGAATGACAACTAAAGCTGTGTAATAACACAATGGCTTTCAAATTCATCGAATTCTTTCTCAATTACAAGCGTTTTATCGAATAACATCGTTTTTATTTCAATTCAATGTAGTACAGTTTAAAATTTAAGAGTGATTTTTCCGAAAACCAATAGATTTTACGGGAGAACCCAACCATTTTCCTGCAACCATTCTTTCTCGGTGTTTGTCAACTTTCTGGAGCCATGTTTCCATTCACCGTTTATGTAGAGAGCACTGCCATCTGTAAAATGAGCATGGATGAAACGATCAAATCTCTCTGGACAAGCTGGATCGATGCGTTCTATTGTTCGACCAGCAGCATGACTGCGTAAATCTTTATTCATCTGATTTACGCTTTTGGAGTTGGACATGATTACTATAATAAATAAGAAAATATTGTAAAATATAACCCAGAGTAAATGAACTCCCAATATTCTCCTAATTTCTATCTTAATTTTCATTCTATAGAGTTAAATTTTTGGAAAAAATGTGCCGTTCAACTTTCTAAGAGAATACATAAGTCCATATAATAAAGACTTTTTACTTCGATATTGGAAATCTAGATTTTAATAGAGTTTGTCGAGATTCTAAAAGTTATTTCGATACTACTATTTCATTGATAATATTCTTTTAAAAGCTGTTGAATTCTTAGTTTAAACAGCTGTCATAATTCTTGATGAAATTTAAACATTATAAAATTCATTTGTTTTCACCTGATTTGTGATAAGACTATTATTACTTTCTATTAATTAAAATATTTTAATTCTATATCGGTTCATTGAATGTAAAAAATTAAATCTACTTACGTACTTAGTGACACTGAAATATATGTGTTTAGTTTTTTGTGCTCTCAGCCAATTTTACTTTTGTATTTATAGTTGACGAAATTATTTGGTTTTTTCCTCATATACATGTGTCATCGGATGATTCACTTATGTAGGAAATATCTTTCTTTTCTCTGAGTTGTGTGCATGCGTATTGAAGATGTAGTGTATTTAATCTATTTTCTTTTATGAAGTAATAAAAAATTCTTGCTTCTTTCTCGTCCTACATATTATTTTTATAAGAATATGATGTAATAAATAATCAAGATAAGAATTACATCGCTAAGTTAATCTTAATCAGTTAGACTGACGATGATAAAATAATGATTCATTTAAATGCGACTATGTTCCCTTTAAAAATAATTATTTTCAACAATATTGAGCGTGTTGGTGTGGGTATGTGATGGGTATAATACTAATACTCACACCCACACCTTTCTATATTCATCTATAAAATTTTGAAAATTTTTAATTATTTAATTAACTACCACTGTCATTAATATAAGAATTAGCATGTCAATTGTATTTTCACTATTAAATGACCATTGATAATAGCATATATGTATTAAATATATTAAGCAAGAACAAGCTGAATATAATCAAGAAAACTAGACAGCCGGGAATCATTCATGATGGAAGCGTGTTGAATAAAAGTTCTTTGTCTGCATTCATTAAATGGATTTTTTCTAACTGTTACAAACATGGAAAAATGCTTATAAAAGAACTTAACAATCTTTAAGATCCACTCGAAATCCGAAATATTTTAATGATGTTTTTTTTAACGAAATCGAATAAACATCCCGAGAATATGATCTTCATTTTTTCAAACGATGATTAGCACATAGTATATATTTCTTGAACAGTTTTAATTTCATTCTTAAATTTATTATCGAACTTATATATATTGCATGTGAAACTATAGGAAAGCAATAGATTTCATATAAATAAGCACATATGATACGTACTTATTAAAATGTAATTGATGTTTCTAACTAAATCTGTATATTCAAGTTCAATGTCAATGCTGGAGATAGTTACTATCAATTATCTTGCAAAAGTTCTGAATTAGTAATTGACAGTATATTTTACTATTAATCATTATTCATTTTCTTAAAATAGTTTTGAAGAAAAAATTGTTTGATCGATAGCTATAATCAGTACTTGATGTTCACTCTCAATAACATTTTTATATTATGTAAATAACACAAAATCTTCCTCTACACAATCTGATACATCTTTTTTTCAATATATATTAATTTAAGTTCTCGATCTTAGATGACTTCATTGAAATTGTCATTTCGATATCGAATCTTGCATGGAATTTTATAGTCGATTGAAACTTCAATACCATCTAGTTTTTATCACAATTTAATATATCTTTATCATAAATTTTAGATGATTCTTCATAATACATTTAAATAATGATTCGATAAAAAAAATCTTTCTTTTTCAATAATAATAAGCTTTATGAATGGATAGAGTA